AGGGTGCTGGGAACTGACAGGGAGCAGAGCTGCATTGAAAACAATGCAGCTGTGCTCTGTGTCACTGTTTGCCGGCAATCGCCGGGACCTGAGGGGTAATGACCGCCTGGGACCCAGTGATTGACACCCGCGGCCACAATCGGTGGCGCGGGTAGGGCGGTCGCGCACCTTGCGTGAGCCCTCTACCCGATATGCAAAATCACGTATATATACGTGATTTTGCGCAGCGGTGCCGCAGTATATGTACTGTAGCTGGTAGGCAACCGGTTAATATAATAAAATAGAAAAAATGAAGAAATAATAATATCTCATATCCAATCGCTGCACAAGTCTTATTGTAGTGAATTTTATTAAAAATGTCCTTTCCTCTTCAATCCGCTGTAACTTTCTGTAAAAAGCAATATGGCTGCCTGAGAGGCGTTATGTACGCAGATGGTATAGGAACGCCCCCCAGAAATGTCATTTCCTGCTCGTGTGATTGGCTCACTGATTTTCCCAGAAGTCTGCACTAAGATACAAGTAAGATTTTGGGCATCCCCTGCAACACAAATTTCATTTTTGTGAGATACTCCCAAGGGGAAATTATGGCTAAAGGGATGCTGACCCTGCCACTTTCCTCATTAGATCCCTGCAGATGCAGCAGCTGATTGATGATGATAAAGTCCCTCCCATTCACATTTACTCTGAACAGGACACAGAGAAACAAACAGATATTTCTTCAGAATAACAGACGGTAGGAATCTGCTACAAAGTGTTTTTTTTTTCAATCAGATCATCTTTATTAAACGTTTCTTTTTCTTTTCCTTTTTTTGAAAAACATACACAAAATTCACATTAAACACATTTTTAGCTCCAGTTATCTTAATATTTAAATATTTCATAGTCTGCAATATATGAATATATACAGCATTTACCAACCGATTCCATTTGCCCTCTTGAAACCCGATTCCTCCAACCGTCTACAATTCAGTGATATACAACAGATAATTGTCAAGTGATTCTCCGATTATTTAAACACACATTTTTGTTTAAGACTCTCTCTAAGTATCTGAGAAATACATGACCTTTAATGGCCCCCCAGTCTTAGTCCGTAGGGTTCAATATTGAGTTGGCCCCGCCCTTTCCACGCACATGACCTTTAATGGCGCCGAGTCTTAGTCCGTATGGGTCTTAGTCCGTAGGGTTCAATATTGAGTTGGCCCCGCCCTTTCCCACGCACATGACCTTTAATGGCCCCCCAGTCTTAGTCCGTAGGGTTCAATATTGAGTTGGCCCCGCCCTTTCCACGCACATGACCTTTAATGGCCCCCCAGTCTTAGTCCGTAGGGTTCAATATTGAGTTGGCCCCCGCCCTTTCCACGCACATGACCTTTAATGGCCCCCCAGTCTTAGTCCGCAGGGTTCAATATTGAGTTGGCCCCGCCCTTCCCACGCACATGACCTTTAATGGCCCCCCCCAGTCTTAGTCCGTAGGGTTCAATATTGAGTTGGCCCCGCCCTTTCCACGCACATGACCTTTAATGGCCCCCCAGTCTTAGTCCGTAGGGTTCAATATTGAGTTGGCCCCGCCCTTTCCACACACATGACCTTTAATGGGCCCCCAGTCTTAGTCCGTAGGGTTCAATATTGAGTTGGCCCCGCCCTTTCCACACACATGACCTTTAATGGCCCCCCAGTCTTAGTCCGTAGGGTTCAATATTGAGTTGGCCCCGCCCTTTGCAGCTATAACAGCTTCAACTCTTCTGGGAAGGCCGTCCACAAGGTTTAGGAGGGTGTCTATGGGAAGGTTTAACCTTTTGCTGGGGGGAACGTTGATGCGGTTCTTTCTCCTAGTGATTCTTTCTAGAAGTGATTTGCACTTCGGACTCTGTACTTCAGCGATTGCACGAAGCGAGATGCATAGGCTGCAGGTGACCCTCTCTCTATTCTGCTCTCCTTCTATTATGTAGCATGCGCTTTCTACCACTCCTTCTGACAGTTGTGTCTGCTCTCCTGAAAGTCTCTTTCCTTCACCCCTCTTCTCCACCCCACAGCTTATATACATCGCCCTCGCTTCTGTCTTCATCCTATGACTCACCAACTCCTACTAATTCTAAATCCACACGCTCATAAAAGTCAGGCCTCGACCCGTACAACCTTGGCAAACAGATGACACCAGAGGTCTCAAAAACATAGCCGTGCTCTTGAGCGTCTATGACTTAAGACTAAGCCTCAGAAAGACTTCAACCAAAATAAATCTGCCCTCCAGAAATACTCTTCCTGCCTCCACATTGCCATGCAGACCTATTTCATAACTCTCATTAGCACCTTCTCATCCAGTTCCCGTCAACTCTTCTCTACCTTCAGCTCTCTTCTTCATCCTCCACTGCCTCCACCCACTGACTCACTCACTGCCCAGGAGTTTGCCAATCACTGCAAAAAGAAAATCGATACAATTTGTGAGGAGATCTCCGACACGCAGATACCTCCCCTACTTAACACTCCACATCCATAGTCACCCTCTGGCTCTATCCTACATTCTCTAACTCACATCTTCAATCTCACCCTCTCTTCTGGCTGGCATCTTCCACAATTCTCTAAAACATGCACTAGTCACCCCCATACTTATAAAGCCCTTCTAGATGCCACCAATCCTAACAACGTATGACCCATCTCCTTACTCACCTTTTCCTCCAAACTCCTTGAACGCCTGGTCTACAACCAGCTGAGCGACCACGTCACTGAGAGTAACCTTCTTGATCCCCTTCAGTCTGGATTTCGCTCTCAGCACTCCACAGAAACCACTCTCGTCAAACTTACAAATGATCTACTAATGGCTAAAACCAATGGACACTATTCTGTTCTCCTACTCCTGGACCTCTCTGCTGCCTTTGACACAGGGGACCACTCCCTCCTCCTCAAAAAACTCTACTCCCTTGGTATCCATGACTGTACTCTTCGTTGGTTCTCATCCTACCTATCCCACCGCACCTTCAGTGTCACCTACAATTCTACTTCCTCTTTTCTTCCTTTCTCCGTTGGGGTTCCCCAAGGTTCTGTTCTGGGGACCCCCTCCTATTTTCAATCTACACCTCCTCTCTGGGTCAGCTGATTGCCTCCCATGGCTTTCAATATCATCTCTATGCTAATGTCAAGGTCCTACCTTTCCTTAGAGCTTGTGTTGCTCCATGTGCTGGCATCCATCTTAGGTTTCTGCAAAGCATGGTGGGAGCCTTTATTCTTTCAAGCCTGTGCGGCTCCTCCCCCAGAAGGGTGTGGCTGATCACATTTAAGCCTGATATTTGATATGAGGTTCCTTTCAACCTCATATCAAATCTCTCACAAACTCATGCAGGCTCCACCTCCGGAACATCTCCAAGATACGCTCCTTCCTTACCCCAGACACCACTAAACTACTCGTTCACTCCCTGATTATCTCACGCCTTGACTACTGCAACTCCCTCCTCACCGGCCTACCCCAGTGCAAACTCACCCCGCTTCAGACCATCCTGAACTCAGCTGCCAGACTCATCCACCTCACCAGCCGCTCCACCTCTGCCACCCCCCTCTGCCTCTCCCTCCACTGGCTCCCCATTGCCCAACGCATTAAATTCAAACTGCTCACTCTGACCTATAAAGCCATTCACAACACTGCCCCTAACTACCTCACCGACCTGATTCCCAGATACCACCCTACCCGTACCCTTCGCTCTTCACAGGACCTCCTTCTATCTTGCTCCCTGGTCTCCTCCTCCCACGCACGACTGCAAGACTTCTCCAGGTCCTCCCCCATCCTCTGGAACTCACTACCCCAACCCATCAGACTGTCACCTTCCCTCCTCACCTTCAGGCGCTCCCTGAAAACCCACCTCTTCAGGGAAGCCTACCCCACCCTCACCTAACAGCCGCTGCCCTTCCCTCCTCCTTCCACTCCATCCCCCACAGCCATTTCCTCCTGTACCTCTACCCCCTCCCTCCTAGATTGTAAGCTCGAAAGAGTAGGGCCCTCTTACCCCTTGTGTGCTGTTTGATGTTACTGTACTGTTTCATGTATTGTCCCCCCTCTATTGTACAGCGCTGAGCAAACCCTTTGGCGCTATATAAACTCGATAAATAAATAAATAAATAAATAAATAAATAATGCTGTCTGCAGTTGCTCTTTGCATTCGTGTCTTGTATGTTACATTGCCGCAAGCTCTCGTTCAGCTCTCGTGACTTTCCTGGAAACCGACTCGGCTTTGACAAGACTATTCTTTGCCTTATCCCATTACCTGACCTCCCGTTGCTGAACCCGGCCCGTGACCTGAGTATTCTTGCCTACCGTCTTGTACTGTCTGTTCCGCTGTTATCGACCCGGCCTGTCTGACCACGCTATACGTCTTCCCATCTGGTCCCACCAGCTATACGCCATTGGCGGCAGCCGTTACCGCAGCTGGGGTTACTCGGGGGCCGCGACCTGGTCTCAGGCTGCGTCAAGTCCATCCCCACCATAAGGGGCCCTGGTGAAAGGCAGCCTGGTGGCTTAGACTCCGCGCCCTGAGGGACTCCGGTCTGTGGGTGGTGGCTGTCGTCAGTCGGTGCGTGACCTTACCATAAGTCCTGCCTGCCCATTCCACCGCTCCTGCCCTGACAGCTAATGAAACCCAAGTCTATCTCTCTACCCTTCAGCTCACTCCAGTCTCCTCACGCATGACTAATCTACTAACTGACATATCCACATGGATGTCACTCCACTTCCTGAGAATTCATCTATCCGAAACCGAGCTCATAATATTTCCTCCCCCATGTGCCCCTTCCCCTGACTTCTCTGTCAATATCAACGGCTCAACCACCAACCCTTCCCCACATGCCAAGGTTCTAGGTATAATCCAAGACTATGAGCTATCCTTTTGGCCCCACATCTACTGGCTGTCCAAAGCTTACCGCCTCAACCTCCGCAACATCTCCAAGATACGCCCCTTCCTGACCAATGATGTCACAAAGCTCCTCACTCACTCCCTGGTCATCACCCGCCTTGACTACTGCAACTCCCTCCTCACTGGCTTACCCTTACATAAGCTATCTCCCCTCCAGTCCATCATGAATGCTGCTTCCAGACTCATCCACCTTACCAACCATTCAATGTCTGCTACTCCTCTCTGCCTATCCCTACACTGGCCTCCATTCAGTGTCCTCCACCCCTCTCTGCCAATCCCTCCACTGGCTTCATTCAGTGTCCTCCACCCCTCTCTGCCAATCCCTCCACTGCCCTCCATTCAGTGTCCTCCACCGCTCTCTGCCAATCCTTCCACTGGCCTCCATTCAGTGTTCTCCACCCCTCTTTGCCAATCCCTCCACTGGCTTTCATTCAGTGTGCTCCACCCCTCTCTGCCAATCCCTCCACTGGTCTCCATTCAGTGTCCTCCAACCCTCTCTGCCAATCCCTCCACTGGTCTCCATTCAGTGTCCTCCACCCCTCTCTGTCAATCCCTCCACTGGCCTCCATTCAGTGTCCTCCACCCCCCTCTCCCAATCCCTCCACTGTCCTCCATTCAGTGTCCTCCACCTCTCTCTGCCAATCCCTCCACTGCCCTCCATTCAGTGTCCTCCAACCCTCTCTGCAGATCCCTCCACTGGCCTCCACTCAGTGTCCTCCACCCCTCTCTGCCAATCCCTCCACTGGCCTCCATTCAGTGTCCTCCACCCCTCTCTGCCAATCCCTCCACTGGCTTCCATTCAGTGTCCTCCACCCCTCTCTGCCAATCCCTCCACTGGCTCCCACTCACCCAACAAATAACATCTTACAAAGCCATCCACAACTCGTCCCCCAGTTACATCACTAACCTGGTCTCAAGATATCAACCAAATTGTTCTCTTTGTCCCTTCCAGGACCTCCTCTCTAGCTCCCTTCTCGCCTCTTCCCATGCTCCCCTCCAGGATTTCTCCAGAGCCGTTCCCATCCTCTGGAACACCCCATTGTGTCTGAATATCTCCATCTCTGTCCACTTTTTAGACGACCCCTGAAAAACTCATCTCTTCAGAGAGGCCTATCCTGCCCCCACCTACATATGAGAGATTGTCAGAGACTGCGGACATGATGTACAAGAATTTGTCAGAGACTGCGGGCATGATACAGAGGATGGTCAGAGACTGCAGACACAGTACAGGAGATGACCAGAGACTCTAGACATGGTACAGGAGACAGTCAGAAACTGCAGAGATAGTACAGGAGACGGTCAGAGACTGCAGAGATGGTACAAGAGATGACCAAAGACTGCAGACATACTACAGGAGGTGGTCAGAGACTGCGGACATAGTACAGGAGACGGTCAGAGCCTGCAGACACAGTACAGGAGATGACCAGAGACTGCGGACATAGTACAAGAGACGGTAAGAGACTGCGGACATAGTACAAGAGACGGTAAGAGACTGCGGACATAGTACAGGAGATGACCAGAGACTGCAAACATGGTACAGGAGATGACCAGAGACTGTGGACACGGTACAGGAGACGACCAGAGACTGCGGACACGGTACAGGAGACGGTCAGAGACTGCGGACACGGTACAGGAGACGGTCAGAGACTGCGGACACGGTACAGGAGACGGTCAGAGACTGCGGACATGGTACAGGAGATGACCAGAGACTGTAGACAGTACAGGAGATGACCAGAGACTGCGGACATAGTACAGGAGATGACCAGAGACTGTGGACACAGTACAGGAGATGACCAGAGACTGCGGACATAGTACAGGAGACGACCAGAGACTGCGGACACAGTACAGGAGACGGTCAGAGACTGCGGACACAGTATAGGAGACGACCAGAGACTGCGGACACAGTACAGGAGATGACCAGAGACTGCGGACACAGTACAGGAGATGACCAGAGACTGCAGACATAGTACAGGAGATGACCGAGACTGCATACATAGTACAGGAGATGACCAGAGACTGCGGACATAGTACAGGAGATGACCAGAGACTGCGGACACGGTACAGGAGATGACCGGAGACTGCGGACACAGTACAGGAGATGACCAGAGACTGCGGACACAGTACAGGAGATGACCAGAGACTGCAGACACAGTACAGGAGATGACCGGAGACTGCAGACATAGTACAGGAGATGACCAGAGACTGCGGACACAGTACAGGAGATGACCAGAGACTGCGGACACAGTACAGGAGATGACCAGAGACTGCGGACACAGTACAGGAGATGACCAGAGACTGCGGACACAGTACAGGAGATGACCAGAGACTGCGGACACAGTACAGGAGATGACCGGAGACTGCAGACAGTACAGGAGATGACCAGGAGACTGCGGACACAGTACAGGAGATGACCAGAGACTGCGGACACAGTACAGGAGATGACCAGAGACTGCGGACACAGTACAGGAGATGACCAGAGACTGCGGACATAGTACAGGGGATGACCGGAGACTGCGGACACAGTACAGGGGATGACCAGAGACTGCGGACACAGTACAGGGGATGACCAGAGACTGCGGACACAGTACAGGAGATGACCAGAGACTGCGGACACAGTACAGGAGACGACCAGAGACTGCGGACAGTACAGGAGATGACCAGAGACTGCGGACACAGTACAGGGATGACCAGAGACTGCGGCCACAGTACAGGAGATGACCAGAGACTGCGGACACAGTACAGGAGATGACCAGAGACTGCGGACACAGTACAGGAGATGACCAGAGACTGCGGACATAGTACAGGAGATGACCAGAGACTGCAGACACAGTACAGGAGATGACCAGAGACTGCGGACATAGTACAGGAGATGACCAGAGACTGCAGACACAGTACAGGAGATGACCAGAGACTGCGGACACAGTACAGGAGACGGTCAGAGACTGCGGACACAGTACAGGAGACGACCAGAGACTGCGGACACAGTACATGAAACTGCGAGGAATAACTGCTATAATAGGGCAATGAGGAAACACAGATAAGTGTCTGCAGGGGCCCCCAAGGGCCCCACAAAATGTACCAAAGGGCTGGATGGCGCCCCCCGATGGTGGTTGGACAGGAGGGAGCGAAGTGTTGCAGCTTCAGACTGGTATCATCATTAAAGAGTTAAAGAGAGAACATTGTAAAGGAGAAATCTGCTGGGGGGGGTCACTCTCCATGTTCAGGTACAGATCCCGTGTGTCCAGAAATAAATGGCCGTTCAGTGGGGGGGGGGGGCCATGTTCAGTACAGATCCCGTTGTGTCCAGAAATAAATGGCCGTTCAGTGGGGGGGGGGGGGTGTCACTCTCCATGTTCAGCTACAGATCCCGTGTGACCAGAAATAAATGGCCGTTCAGTGGGGGGGGGGGTCACTCTCCATGTTCAGGTACAGATCCCGTGTATTCTGGTCGCCCCTGAAGCCGCATAAAGACAAGTGTCCAGAAATAAATGGGGGTTCAGTGGGGGGGGGTGTCACTCTCCATGTTCAGGTACAGATCCCGTGTGACCCAGAAATAAATGGCCGTTCAGTGGGGGGGGGTCACTCTCCATGTTCAGGTACAGATCCGTGTATTCTGGTCGCCCTCTGAAGCCGCACAGAAGACAAGTGTCCAGAAAATAAATGGCCGTTCAGTGGGGGGGGGGTCACTCTCCATGTTCAGCTACAGATCCCGTGTGTCCAGAAATAAATGGCCGTTCAGTGGGGGGGGGTCACTCTCCATGTTCAGGTACAGATCCGTGTATTCTGGTCGCCCTCTGAAGCCGCACAGAAGACAAGTGTCCAGAAATAAATGGCCGTTCAGTGGGGGGGGGGGGTCACTCTCCATGTTCAGGTACAGATCCCGTGTGTCCAGAAATAAATGGCCGTTCAGTGGGGGGGGGGGTCACTCTCCATGTTCAGGTACAGATCCGTGTATTCTGGTCGCCCTCTGAAGCCGCACAGAAGACAAGTGTCCAGAAATAAATGGCCGTTCAGTGGGGGGGGGGGGGTGGATGGCGCGGAGTTTTGTGCGGATGTCTGGGAAATGAGCGGCTTGGATCCATTCCTGGCGTATTGATCCGACGACAGTTTATGCATCCTGACATTCATAATCGCAGCAGTCTGGTGATGCTCCAGATTAATGGACCCCGGGGCCCTTCATCTGTCTCTCCACATTAATTACTGAAGAGGTGTTTTTTTCAATGATTTACCTGACAGGAGCCAATGATGAATCCTGGCGTCCCCGGCCTCTCCTACTCTCCGCACTCAGCCATGATAAATCAGGAGAGAACGCCCCCCCATGGAGGCCGGAGGGAAGCCTTGTGATAGAATCCCCCCCCCATGTCCCTCTATCGTGTCCATACAAGAGATGGAGCATTGCCGGGGCAAGCTGGGCCGGACGCCGGGCCCAGAACTAGACAAGTTCTTTACATTCTATTCCTAAGATGTGTAGCAGACATAGAAGAAACTGGGTCAGACATACTACAGGAGAGGGTCAGAGACTGCAGACATACTACAGGAGAGGGTCAGAGACTGCAGACATAGTACAGGAGACGGTCAGAGACTGCAGACATACTACAGGAGAGGGTCAGAGACTGCAGACATACTACAGGAGAGGGTCAGAGACTGCAGACATAGTACAGGAGACGGTCAGAGACTGCAGACATACTACAGGAGAGGGTCAGAGACTGCAGACATACTACAGGAGAGGGTCAGAGACTGCAGACATAGTACAGGAGTTGGTCAGAGACTGCAGACATAGTACAGGAGTTGGTCAGAGACTGCAAACATACTACAGGAGAGGGTCAGAGACTGCAGACATAGTACAGGAGACGGTCAGAGACTGCAGACATAGTACAGGAGTTGGTCAGAGACTGCAGACATACTACAGGAGAGGGTCAGAGACTGCAGACATAGTACAGGAGACGGTCAGAGACTGCAGACATAGTACAGGAGATGACCAGAGACTGCAGACATAGTACAGGAGATGACCAGAGACTGCGAACATAATACAGGGGATGACCAGAGACTGCAGACATAGTACAGGAGATGACCAGAGACTGCAGACATAGTACAGGGGATGACCAGAGACTGCGGACACAGTACAGGAGATGACCAGAGACTGCGGACACAGTACAGGGGATGACCAGAGACTGCGGACACAGTACGGGAGATGACCAGAGACTGCAGACATCGTACAGGAGAGGGTCAGAGATTGCAGACATCATACAGGGGATGACCAGAGACTGCGGACACAGTACAGGAGATGACCAGAGACTGAGACATGCAGACATAGTACAGGAGATGACCAGAGACTGCGGACACAGTACAGGAGATGACCAGAGACTGCGGACACAGTACAGGGATGGGATGACCAGGAGATGACAGAGACTGCGGACACAGTACGGGAGATGACTGCAGAGACTGCAGACATAGTACAGGAGATGGTCAGAGACTGCGGACACAGTACAGGAGATGACCAGAGACTGCGGACACAGTACGGATGACCAGAGACTGCGGACACAGATGACCAGAGACTGCAGACATAGTACAGACATCAGAGACACACAGTACAGGAGATGACCAGAGACTGCGGACACAGTACAGGAGATGACCAGAGACTGCGGACATACAGTACAGGGGATGACCAGAGACTGCGGACACAGTACGGGAGATGACCAGAGACAGGGGACACAGATGACCAGAGACTGCGGACAGAGTACAGGAGATGACCAGAGACTGCAGACACAGTACAGGGGATGACCAGAGACTGCAGACATAGTACAGGAGAGGGTCAGAGATTGCGGACATCAGTACAGGGGATGACCAGAGACTGCAGACATAGTACAGGAGATGGTCAGAGACTGCGGACACAGTACAGGAGATGACCAGAGACTGCGGACACAGTAGTACAGAGGAGATAGTCACAGGAGATGGTCAGAGACTGCGGACACAGTACAGGAGATGACAGAGACTGCAGACACAGTACAGGAGATGACCAGAGACTGCAGATATAGTACAGGATGATGGTCAGAGACTGCGGACACAGTACAGTACAGGAGATGGTCAGAGACTGCAGACATAGTACAGGAGATGACCAGAGACTGCAGACATAGTACAGGAGACGTCCAGAGACTGCGGACACAGTACAGGAGATGACCAGAGACTGCAGACATAGTACAGGGAGATGACCAGAGACTGCAGACACAGTACAGGAGATGACCAGAGACTGCGGACATAGTACAGGAGATGACCAGAGACTGCAGACACAGTACAGGAGATGAAGACTGCAGACACAGTACAGAGATGACCAGAGACTGCAGACAGTAGTACAGGAGATGACCAGAGAGACTGCGGACACAGATGGTACAGACTGCGGACACAGTACAGGGGATGACCAGAGACTGTGGACATAGTACAGGGGATGACCAGAGACTGCGGACACAGTACAGGAGACGACCAGAGACTGCGGACACAGTACAGGAGATGACCAGAGACTGCGGACACAGTACAGGAGATGACCAGAGACTGCGGACACAGTACAGGAGATGACCAGAGACTGCGGACACAGTACATGAGATGACCAGAGACTGCGGACACAGTTCAGGGGATAACCAGAGACTGCGGACACAGTACAGGAGATGACCAGAGACTGCAGACACAGTACAGGAGATGGTCAGAGACTGCGGACACAGTACAGGAGATGGTCAGAGACTGCGGACACAGTACAGGAGATGACCAGAGACTGCAGACATAGTACAGGAGAGGGTCAGAGACTGCAGACATAGTACAGGGGATGACCAGAGACTGCGGACATAGTACAGGTGATGACCAGAGACTGCGGACACAGTACAGGAGATGACAAGAGACTGCGGACACAGTACAGGGGATGACCAGAGACTGCGGACACAGTACAGGAGATGACAAGAGACTGCGGACACAGTACAGGGGATGACCAGAGACTGCGGACACAGTACAGGGGATGACCAGAGACTGCGGACACAGTACAGGGATGACCAGAGACTGCGGACACAGTACAGGGGATGACCAGAGAGACTGCGCAGTACAGGAGATGACCAGAGACTGCGGACACAGTACAGGAGAGGGTCAGAGACTGCGGACATAGTACAGGAGATGACCAGAGACTGCGGACACAGTACAGGAGATGACCAGAGACTGCGGACACAGTACAGGAGAGGGTCAGAGACTGCGGACATAGTACAGGAGATGACCAGAGACTGCAGACATAGTACAGGAGATGACCAGAGACTGCGACCATAGTACAGGAGATGACCAGAGACTGCGGACACAGTACAGGAGATGACCAGAGACTGCAGACATAGTACAGGAGATGACCAGAGACTGCGACCATAGTACAGGAGATGACCAGAGACTGCAGACATAGTACAGGAGATGACCAGAGACCCTAATTAGATCACTGTTAGATATACTGATGATATTACTGGTTAAAGTTTTCATTGTTTAGGATCATGTGATCTTGTGTGGTATAAATTCTGGGTGAGTTTTCAATGAAGGGAGTTCCAGCTGCACCTCAGCTAGTGTCTCCAAGTCTTGGGTGCCCTTCCCAGCTATAATACCTTGTTCCTGTGTCCCAGAGGTGAGGAAGCACTTCTCTGATGGTGGCACCCAGGCCGGATGGTAGGCGTTCCATCACATTTGGTGGCAGCAGCAGTCTGGGACATCCAAACAACCACCAGGATCCGAGGTCCGGTTAGCAGAAGACGAGAGGAACAGATACCAGCCACCATGGAAGAGGAATTCAGAAG